CTGCATTGCTCCGGGGCCCAACTGTATCGGGTAGGCTTCAGCCTCTGGGTCCCGGTCGCAGGCTGAAGGGGAGGCCGCCCACATGCTGCATTGGCATATAGGCAAGCAGGGCGAGGCAGCAAGGATCTTGGCCAATGCGGGCACGCTGCGCGGATGCATGTGTGCTGCGCTAAGATCAAGCAGGCCAGCGCTAGGCGGCAGGGCGCTGCCTGCACTGAGGGCACTGGCGGCCATAGCCTGGGCCGCAAGAGGGTGCAGGGGAGGTGAGGGCGAAGGTGGTACTTCGGAGGTGGAGGGCGCTGTGTGGGTAACAAGGGAGAGTGTGGGAAAGATGACACGTACCTGGTGATGGTGGAGGTCTGCATTGGTGTTGACATCATCACTCGCTGGTAGTCAAGTTGTCTGGTTGCTGTTCATTGCTGTAGTTGTTGGATTGGCTGTAGAGAAAATAGGGCGCCTGGCGCCATTCACCAGAGAGAGCTACATTTGGGTTATGCTGTTGGTGTTGCCCTGTTGGGCATGGACATTGACTCACTATTGTTCTGTATCATTCTCAATGGGATGATTACTCGGTTCCATGTGCTATCTGCTTTGGCTTTGAATACTTGGACTTCAGTGTGATTTTGCATTCTGGATTTCTGTGCTTCGTCCATACTCATGTTCCTTGCAATTTATTTTTATTATTAGTATTTGTTCTCGGTATTTTATTTTTATTTCAAATTTGGTAAGGAATTCGGATGTAATGCTCAGGCAAATCTTGTTTAGTTTATTTTTGTCCACAACATATTGTTTTTTCAGATTTTTTTGATGATGTTTTTTTTTTTTTTTTTTTTTTTTTTTTTTTTTTTTTTTTTTTTTATTATTTTTTTGATGATGTTTTTTTTTTTTTTTTTTTTTTTTGGGTCCACGTTCGGCCCGAACGGCCGAACGCATCCCCAAGGGGTCCCATACGTTCGGGCGTTCCGGTTTGGGCGTTCGGCCCCTCCCGAACGTCGGTTACCCTGTATATATACGGTTTACCGGGCAGTTCTATTTGACGATATATATCATATATATATATATATGCAATCAGACTTGTCTTCTTCCTTATCCAGCATGCATAAAAGCAGATGGCAATCACACTGACGCCAGGCGCCCACACAAAACTCAGAGATATCACGGCCAAGAACACAGTTCAGATTCAAACTTGCTTCAAATGGCTATGGTGCCTGTGCGCCCTCACTTGCCCTACGGACACTGTGTCCTCAACAACTGTTCACACAAACATTACTCTGGATCTCCCTGGATGTCCCACACACGCACACACACTTCGCTGAACACCCACACACATACACGCTATAGTCTATCACCAACCTACAGCAGCTATAGCTGCTCTCTACCACTAACTAGTGGCTATGGCCAGTTCGTCTCCCTCACGGCCCTCTTCTTCCTCGGGCACCTGCAGACCTCCTTGCACAAGAGGCTTAGGCAGCGCTTCGGCATGGCTCACAGGCAGAATGAATGAATGGCTGGACGCTGCCTCTTGATTCGGTTAGTCGCTGGTCTGCTCCTTTCCACTGGGCCCAGGGTGCACACAGTCCGACATGGTACATGCTGACTGGACGAAGTGCGACTGAGACTGGGTATCGCTGACTAGGCGAGGCTGGACTGCCCACTTGCCCATTTGCCTCTGGCCTGACTCTGGTGACTCTCGAAAGGCCACTTCCGGACCTTCCAGAAGTCTGCAGACTTGGCCTTTCGGGACTGTAGCAGCTACGACCATGACCTTTCAGGACTGTAGCGGCTACGAGTTCTACACAGCTACGACCCTTACTCACAGCTACGACCCTTACTCGACAGACCTACAGATCGAGACCTGACGACCAGACTAACGTACGACCGACAACAGGTGATGACTAAGACACAGGTCACGGACTCAAACACACAGGGTCTACGTGGTACTGTACACAGGTCAGGGTAAGGTCTACGGATCGAGCCCTGGGATCTGCGTCTGCTACCCCAAAGGTGAAAACACTTTCACATATATATATATATATATATATATATATATATATATATATATATAGTGCGGGTGACCAGTGCACAGTTCCGAATTCGCAGGAAGGAATAACAAACAGGGCACTGCAATTATGGGCCCAATTATGGGCCGAGGAGGGCGGTTAGAAACTGCAAAAACAAAAGGAGAACTGTTACAGCTTTGTGCACCTTAGCCGGTGGAAGTTCGGAAGTGTCAAAATAAGGCAGCCACTGGTGTGTGTGTGTGTGTGTGTGTGTGTGTGTGTGTGT